CTGCTATTCTGGCGCCGGGAACGATCTCCGACTATCTCAAGCACACGGAATCGTGATTTGATGCACTCCTTGTCCTTGCAAGGTTAGATGCGTCACTTTTGCAATGTTGACCTTGCGTGAAGTCATTTATGACGTCATCAAGGTCATATTAGTTTTTCGTCAATAACTCTTGATCAAATTGAGCTAGCGAATCGGGAAAGCCACCAATGGACTCGGGAAGACCTGCCGAATCGAATGATATGCGACATGACCTCTTTCGACCAACTTCGTGACCTGGGGGTGCTGACATGACCTCTACATGAGGTCAACACCCTAAGTTGACCTGACCCGAAAAAGTATATCATTCGACGCGCCTGAGCGGGGCGAACACGATGCTGCCAAAATCGCGGTTCTGTGGCCGTTTTTTTGCGAAGTTATTCACCAAAAACTGAACCGTACCTTGGGGCACTTGACCTGACCTCAGAGGTCACCTGTTGACCTAGGACCTTAAAATCAGGTACCAATCTCTGTGTCTCGTAACGGCGCACACGCTCGCTTTTTTCGCGACGCGCTAGCTCTACCAGGGGCGAAACGGCGAGGGGGGTCGTACCCCCCCCCCCCGGCCGGCGCGTATGAAGAAAACCAATAGGTCCGGCGAGGTTTAATTGGTATGAATAGATCAGTGCTGGCGCGAATGTTTGTGTAGCGAGTATCTTACGCTGAACGAAGTGAGCGTCTGACTGCTAAAAAATGAAGGACTGCCATCGATCCCGACTCGCACGATGAGCTCGCTCCAGTGCAACCTTTCGTCATTCCGAGTGAAGGTCTCCCTACCTCACCTTTTCATTGTCAGGTGCACTCACCGCATCTGATGATAAGTGACTTTAAGCGATGCATAAATATGTGTATGACATTTATCTTCTGGTGACACAACTCTAAACGGTGTGACAAATGTGACACGTGACATTTGATGACGTGACATTCACACAATTGTACCTCATAACACTAACTGAACTTTGTGATATACATATAACTATACGCTGACTGCTGACACTCGATTCCAATGTTTTGACCGCAGTCACACCACGCACGAGACAGCCACCTGTCACCTGGCACCCGGGAAATTTACAGCCTCCCACGTTACTATACGTTCTTAGGCGCCGGCCGCGTCAAGGCCTGTCCAAACACGGTCGATGATTACCTGACGTTCGACATTTGGCTGACCCTAACACGCGGGTTAATGTCATGGCGTTGATACTTGACCCAGTGTGCTTACCCCAGCGCGTCGCGACTAGCGAGCCGTCTATAGACCGTGCGTCAGTACCGACAACCCCAGGACGAAATGCTAATGTCCAGATCGGGTGCTAGTGCCAAGACCTGCCCAGGTCAAGTGTCCACTCTGAAGACCGCCCCAGACCTGTTGTCAGCTCCGAGAGCCGTTCCGAGTGCCGTTCCAGACCGATTGTCAGTTCCGAGTGCCGTTCCAGGCCAGATGACGGTATTTTCCAATGGCGGAGCGTTGGACTTTGGCTGTTTATTGCGCGTGGGCTTTTGACACCCCTCCCCTCCCGGCTCCCCTCGCCTCCCTGTCCGCCGTCTGAATGCCGCCGCTGCAGTCGTGCAGCGACTGGAGGTGGGGCGAGGCGGGGGCACCGTCCGTAATCAATATCCGGCCCATTGGAAAACACCTGCGCTGTGCCGGGGGCGGGCCATCGTCGACTGGCCGTCGTCGTCCACTCGGAGTCCCAGAGGGGGCCGGCAGAAGGAGTCTGTATGAGACACCGGCAGGGCCGGCAGAAGGAGTCTGATAAGACACCAGCAGGGCCGGCAGAAGGAGTCTGTGTAAGACACCGGTCGGCAAAGGAGTCTGTACCGGACACCGGCCGGCAAAGGAGTCTAACTCGGACACCGGCCGACAAAGGAGTCTGACTCGGACACCGGCCGGCAAGGGAGTCTGCGCCGGACACCGAACACTCGATGCACAGACCAGGCGAAGCAGTCTGTGCCGGACTCCGAGACCATGGCCGGAGGAGTCTGCACTCGACACCGAGACCAGCGGAAGGAGTCTGCACTCGACACCGAGACCAGCGGAAGAGTCTGCGCTGGACACCGAGACCAGCGGAAGAGTCTGCGCTGGACACCGAGACCAGCCGGAGGAGTCTGCGCTGGACACCGAGACCAGCCGAAGAGTCTGCGCCGGACACCGAGACCAGCCGGAGGAGTCTGCGCTGGACACCGAGACCAGCCGGAGGAAACTGCGCTGGACACCGAGTGTCCACCGGGTTCCCAGAACGCAGCCCGGCCGGCGGTGCGTTAGCGGCGCCCAGAGCGCGGCCAAGGGCTCTCAGGAAGCGAACCGCACCGTGAATAATAGAGAACCGTGACCCGACACCACACCGGCGCAGGGCGAAAATAGCGCCGGACCGAACAAAGGAAGGCGAATCGTCAAACACAACGTAATGCGGGGGTGCTTACGCACTCGGGTATACGCACTTTGTTGCAGAAAGTTCTGCTTCTCTGTTTCCTTTACATTGGATCTTCTCATCATGACTCTAGAGGAATTCAATAACAGGCACAGACGTTGGAAGGATTTAAGAGACATGCTGATGATTGAAAAGTCTCATGTGCTGGAATGTCATTATAAATTTGATTTAGTAACTTGTCATTTTTAATACCAAAAATGACTACGCTTTAACGAATCTGGTTCATTCAAAAGAATGGCTGTTCAAACAACAGCTGCAATTCAGGCTTAGGCAACAATGAACATTGGTTAAAAATAGTAAAAGACAAAAGTTGAAATAAGACCTCAGCTTTTTTACTGTTTGTCCCGATCCATAACACTCGTCGAAACCGCCTTCCTTATGCATCTAGCAGGGTTTCCCTTGAACAATGACACTGAATTCAGACCTAAATGAATTTACCAATGAAGTATGAACTGACTGAACTACGATTCGCTTATCTAAAACAGAAAAATGAAAAATATTTTATTGTCACGTTAAAGTCATGAGAACTATCTAATTCTGCCTACCTTGTAAGGTAGCAAATGCCCTTATCTTCGACCTAAGCCATTCTTTGAGATGAAAATGAAAATGAAAAAGAATAATAAAAAACGAGGCCTTCACAAAGATCCAATCGTATAGGCACCAATAATGATTCAGTAAGGAATGCTGAATCACTATCAATTCTACAAAATGATTGGAACATTCAGCGTGGAAGACGAGTTTTTCAATTTAAAACTCGTGTGTTGTGTAAACAGAAACTCTTGCGTATTTCCTTCCAGCCATTACCACCGGATCCGACCATTCCACGGGCATCCTGGAGAATTTACAGTCAAATGCGTGTGTGTGCTGGCGCATAAATTGAGCCACAGAACAGCCTGATCCGGGTTATCACCACCGCGCGGTGGGCTCAGCCGTCAGACGCTGAGCCACCGCGCTCTCACAGCTGAACCGCCGAGGGGGGGGGGGCGGGAATAGGTGCAGCGGCGTGCACACATAGATATGAGTACTGACAGAGGAAGCTGAGAAAACACATGCGTCATTAGTGTTTGTCCAGTTGTATTCGCCGAGCGCCAGTCTTACAAGAATGACTGGCGCTTGTGGCAGACTGTTGAGTTTTTTTTTAGACCAAGGCCGTGTTGAGACTCCAACGTTTGTCGAAACCTTGAACAATACATAACGCTGAACTTTAAAAAATCACAAATATAATCATGCCTATCATACATAGCACATAAGACAACAAATGTGGGTACACAAAAAAACATGTTTCGCTGTTGGCTTAGGAAACCCACCACCACACGGTCGGATTCAGGGTAATGTTGGGCTATAAAACGCTGCCAATGCACTGACGCCACCACCCGCACAGTATAGCCAGGCTGGGAAGTACTGGCAAGGAGCTGGGACCGGTAGTTAGACGGAATGAGCCCGTTAGCCGCGCCCTGAAGCCATCGGTCGGGTCACTTGGGCCACAGGCAACAGCTCATCCCCGCCGCCGCCATCGATATCAGAGGTGGGCGAAATGGCGCCGTTCCTGGCGACCTCGTCCGCCGTACCAAAATGAACGGTCGACACTGGCAGGGCGGTATTAAAGACGTCAATCGTGCACAGCGGAAGCATCTGCTCGCATCTGCTCGCTTCCGACCCGAATTTTCTCTCTGCCACCACGCAAGGATCGGCGAGAAATAGCAAACCTGCTTTTGCGTGTGTGTGATTGTTTGTTGCATTCTCCGACCTAACTTCGTAAAAGTGTGTGCGCATCTTCAGTGCCCGTTTTGACAAGACATGGGTATGCTGTAAGTTATGTGTTACGAGCTGCCTGTCCGCTCGTCACTATGGCAGTCGTCGGGGCGTGCTCTAAGCGCCGCTCTCGCGCTGTCGATAGGTGCCGAGGAGAGCGGCCGGCCCGGCGCGGCGCACGGTCGTCCTGCTCGGCGCAGTAATTACTGGGCCAGGTGGGGGGTGGGGGGGGGGGGGGGCAGCGAGCTGCTGACGTCAGCAACTGATCTGCCCAAGATGGATGTGCACGCGAGCAGGGCGCGCTATGGAAAACACAAAAATATTGTCTTTGTTCCCGCGCGTATGGGTGACTTATCTGCTCGCTTGGCATATTTGAAGCAAATGGCAAGACCGCCAATATGTAGCGCGTCGAAATCAATAACACCCAAATAACCAATCACATCGATGAGATATTGCTGTTAAAGACATGTCTTAAATCATTTGGCATTAAATTAAAACACAAAACCAGACGAACTGCTGGGAACACTCACAGTAACAGTTCCTCACAGTCACATATTGTGAGGAATACTACATCATGAAAACCTATTGCAAAATTTGAATAGTTATTTTACCTTTTATTGAAGTCTTCAAAGCAAGATCGGATATCAATCAGATCATGATTTATTTGAGAAATTAATTATTCCTATTCTTACGACACCGACCGCACGCTGCCCCAGCAGCCTGGCGCTACAATTGTGGGGTGGGGGAGGGGAAGAGAGGAGAGGGGAGACAGCGGTGATAGCTTACCGATGAAGTCGAGGCTGGGCTGGGTGAGTTTCGGCACCCGTGACGACCACGGCTGGCAGGGGATGCTCTCCGTGCCCTCGTTCTCCCCCATCGACTCTGGGAAGGCAGAAACACGCTGACGTCACTCCATCACCAACCAGTGTGCGTGCGAACACCGACACCATGCGTGTGTGTTTCTACATACACGCACGCCTACACAAATACTGGCTGCGAATTAGGAACGCGTGTTCGTGCCAGTGTCTGTCTGTTGAACGCTGAACTGATGCAGCTTCATATAGTGTGAGAGTTTTCTAATGGATTTCGGTTTCGAGTGGATATACACTGAGAAGTGAGACAATGAAGTGAATGTGCTTTACATGACTAGTGTAAGTACCTGTACGAATTTCGAAGCCTTAGCTGGTTTCAGAAAACATTCGCCGTGCGTATCTCATACAATCTGTTCACGGCTCGTCAAAAGTCTCTTTGACGATCTGTAACGTTCGTATTTCGTTCTACAAATAGAACAATGCCCTATCTACTGATGATTTGACGTTTAATGATGTGATTACCCCTGGGAGTTGATGACGTCATAGTCTGCGTGCCTCGGAGACCGCGGGTCGTGCCTAATTCAGGTGTTCGCTCACCGGCGCGGTTGATTAGCAGGGTTAATTAGTTCTACGGTCAGAACTCCGATCCCGGATAGGCGAACACGGCGCAAAATACGACCTTCGTCGGAGTCATGCCGAGAGCACGGCGGGAAATTATATCTTAAATTATTATTTCTCAATAATAAGTTTATTATCGTCTCAAAACGTTACAGGTAGGTAATCACATGGGGAGGTTTGGCGTCTGCTCGTAGAGCGGGGTTTATTTCAACGACACGAATGTCTGTATAATTTTCGACTGCGGGATCATCCCATCAGTTTGAGATAATGGAATATGATGGCCAAGAGTTACAAATCAAAAATGACAAATACATTATAAATCTTGTGTATCTTATAAATACAAAAGATTTATATCTTATTTCACATTTTTGATTTTCAACTCTCGGCCATCATTGACATTAACTGGAAAAGCTCTTGTAGGCTCTCTGCGGCAATGGATGACCGCTCCCTCGGTGTGTGGGGACTGAACTCGTTAGTTCAGATGACCGACTCGAGGTGCCCGGAGACCAGGAAAATGACGTCATCAGTGCCACAGGCACCGACATTCAAAGGATTTCGCGTACACTATTTACGCCTAACTGGTTACATCGACATCTGATTGTTGCGTTGTGCTCGGAATGCTTTGATAAGTTCACATTTTCAAATTACCTAGTAGGAACATATGGTAACGACACGTCCTAAACGTGTGATTTTCACACTGATTCTGAGACTGATTAATTAAAGGTGCCTACATTTGTGCGTTGTAAGATACATAAAAATGTAAACAATAAAAACAATACAAAATACATAAAAAATAACTAGAAGAAAAAAGTTATTGGCGAAAACTTTTCGTGGCCACCTATAGAGTTATAAGAAATATGTTACATACGTGAGTTATGCTGAATAGCTGTTGTCATTTTTTAACGACAGCTTTATGTAGGTGACTAACTTGATATACGAAGACAGTCAAATCTTTAGGAAAGTGTAGCCTTGGGTGACAAGGTACGGCTCTCGCGAGATTAAGCGGTAGGTTTTGCACTTTTACTTTTCCGGTTATATCTCAGAAACTAATCAATCTACGATGAAGCCATTTTACCCGATCATGGCCGGCTTGTTACTCAACAAGTCGATCGCATCTTCAACACTTAACCCGCGCGGGGCTGGGGGGTAAATTTTACCCCCCTCGCGAATTTTTGCAATATCTCAAAAACGGCGGCGCGCAGCGCCGCCAAACTTTCAGTACCTTTTCTTACATCAATTTGACACGTTCCCTGAAAATTTGAGCGAAATCCATCGGAAAATTTTTGAGAAATTGACGTTTTAGTGACGTCATGTTCGCCATTTTCGCCTCAAAAAACGGCAAAACTTCAAACGCCGCTAACATCCTTATTTTTAAAGGAATCAAGACGTAACAAAAAAGGTTATACGTAATTCTATTTTGTCTATCAAATGGCTATCTCGGTTTTTTAAAAATACCGGGAGTTCCTAAATAAACAGTCGAATTATTTTTGCCTCTAGTGGCGTCAACTAACAAAATCACAACAATCAAATTGCACGTGATGATAGCACGTGCAATGCCATTTTATTTCATACCAAAATCAATCACTTTCTATCATGCAGCCGTATAGTACAGACATAAAATCAAAAATAGTACATTTCTATTTTGAGACAAAGTCAATCGTTGCAACACAACGTAAGCTACGCCGACACTTAAAAAGGACCCAAGTGCCATCAAGAACCGTCATTTTAAGTATAGTTGAGAAGTTTTTGGCAAGAGGTAGTGTGGAGAACGTAAAAAAGGGTAAATGTGGCCGAAAAAGAACCAAGAGGACGCCTCTAAACGCCCAAAAGGCACGAGAAGCCCTCCAGAGGAGCCCACAAAAGTCGCTCAGACGGCTGGGCCAGGAACTGGGCTGTAGCAAAACCACCGCTCACCGTTTGGCCAGAAACGACGTTCAGCTGTTCCCGTATAAGGTCTCCGTGCATCAAGCACTGTCGAAAGTCGACAAACAGTCACGGCTTCTTTACAGCGGCTGGTTTTTGATAAATTGCGAGCAGGACAATGAGTTCCTTCACCGAATCTGGTTCAGCGACGAGGCCCATTTTCATATGGATGGCCGCATGAACTCCCAGAATTTTCGATTCTGGTCGACGGAGCCACCCGATTTGGTCGCGGAAGCCCCTCTGCACAGTGTGAAGTGCACAGCCTGGTGTGCAATGAGCAGTAGTGGCATAATCGGACCTTTCTGGTTTGAGAACGACGCTGGGGAGTCTGTCACCGGGTCAACGCTCAGCGCTACCGGCAAGTCCTAGCCAAGTTCTGGACTGCGCTGAACAGGCGGCTGGGTGGAGACAGGCAGCTGATGGACCAACAATGGTTCCAACAAGACGGAGCCTCGGCGCACACGGCCGTTGCGACTCGAGAATGGCTGCGGAACCGATTCGGTTCGCGGGTTATCTCCCGCAGAGAGGTGCGGACCTGGCCCCCGCACTCTCCGGATCTGACCCCACTTGACTTCTTTCTCTGGGGTCACCTGAAGTCACAGGTCTACAAAAGCAACCCCAGAACCACAGATGACCTCAAGAGGGCCGTGTCGTCCGCGGTGCGCCGAGTGCGGCCGGAGATCTGCCGGGCTGCGGTGGAGTCCGCTCGGCGACGCGCAGAGCTGTGTGTGGAGCGAGAGGGGGCTCATCTGGAACACGTCCTCTGTGGCCGCAAATGAAAAGACAGCAAAAAGAAGATGGTATCACGTGAAATGGCATCGACTATTGTGTATGTTAGAAAGTGATTCGTTTTTGTCATGCCTTCCATGCTGATAATATACAGCTTTTAAATACGACTGTTTATTTAGGAACTCCCGGTATTGGATTTTGGCCCAATTTTTTCAAAAAACTGACTTTTTGGGAAAATAATTATAAAATCCAAAATTTTTGGTGTATAAAAAACCGGAATATATGTCAGAGAAGTGTTCTATGTGCACCGACATACCAATTTTTAGAAGAATCGGTTCAAAAATGTGGGAGTTATTCAAAATTTTATGACGTCACGACACACAAAATTTTTGAAAAAAAAAATGATTTTTGGAAGTTCTAGACCTTGTACGGAAACAAAAACAGCACCATTCGATTCGCCGTGAAAAACTGCATCAGATAGACACCTTTTAGGCCTTAACAACCAACTTCAAAATTTGACCTCACTTGACCTGACCTTGACCTGACCTCGACCTGAAATTCATCCAGAGGTGGTCCATATCACTTATTGAGTGTGCCTATTGAATTCTATGAGTAAAATGACCCATAAAACATGTGTCGCACATGCCCTTTTCTATATTTTGTTTTTTGGTGACCTGACCTGACCTGACCTGACCTGACCTTGACCTTAACCTCTGAATGATATTGTATGCAACGAATATTGTCTTGATAGCCTAAGAACACGTTTTGGGCAATCAGTCTCAGTCCATGACTCCATTCTTCGGCAACTACGGTGCAAGGCCGATACTGTAGAAACTTGCAATTTGTACCCTTGACCTGACCTTGACCTTGACCTCAAACTTTAAAGTAAGTACATGTTTTTAGTTGTTCGTGATGAGAGCTTTCGAGTGGCGTTTGAATTTTCAAATCGGACCATTAGTTCGGGAGATAACAGGGGGGGGGGGGGGGGTAAAATTTACCCCCCCCCCCCCAGCCCCGTGCGTTCGGCTGGAAACCCCAGCCCCGCGCGGGTTAAAAGCTTAAAACGACGAAGATATATCCTGAAGTACACTAAATTTTCTAGGTGCAAAACCTACCGCTAAAAACCGCGAGACCTGTACATACACCCTACAAGAAACATTCTTTTATGAAGTGTTAAAAACTCTGAGCATGTCGCACTTTCAATTTGCGCGCGCGCTAATTGGATCGTATCTGAATCTCCAAAATCATAGGTAATCTGAAATTGTGCATAAATGTAGACATAATGCAATGCAGCTAAGGGGATATAGGTAGACATGCCTAGATGGTAGGTACTTTCGGCTGGTAGATGCTCGTTTCCGCTCAGCCTCAGTCTCGATCCTCTGCCGAAGGGCCACCCACCTGCGAACTCGAGTCCGGCCAGTTTCCAGGTTCCCTTTTTGGTGACGAAC